GCATTCCAAGGAAATCAATCAGAGCTAGCTGCCAAACTGCATCATTTTTTAAAATTCGCAAAGATATTAACTCCGGGAAAAGAGTTATTGATGTATCATGAAATGTCTAGCATATAGTTTCTTCGAATTGCAGAAAAGTCTTATTCATTCACAGCCGCGATAATTACCACTTTAGCAGCAACCCCATGCTCAACTTATGTTAAACTTAGGAAATCCTTTCGCAAATTTATGTGAAAGTATTATGGTCAAAAAAAGACCGTTTAGATTGGCAGCTACGTCGTGGTTTTTATCTGCTATTCCATTAAGGTAATGTGAATGTAGTATCAAGTAAAAATATACCTTTTCAATATGTATTAACTGACCACCTTGGTAACATGGATAAAATTTTGAATTTTGTGTTTTTATAAATAGCAGGTTATTCTTGCAAACGGTCTGAAATCAGAAAGCTGACAGCTTCAATTCTCTTATCAGCGAATATCTTAAAATATTTATCCTTGATCCTGGTAGAAGTTGTATTTACATTATAAATGCATTTAAAGTCTTTCATATTAAACGCAAACCTCATAGCAACCAACACTGTGCATCCAAACGTCAATACCTTGATCGTGGATGACCGTAATACCACCTTCCAATTGAAAACAGCGAGCTGTTGGCGAGAATATCTGCATTTTCCATAGCTTCGTGTATGTGGTAACGATTTTAGTGTACGGTATACCTCAAGCGAATAATTATTATAATTCATGTTTCCGGGAAATGTACATCGTGTATCAGCACCTTTGTCCATCGCTGAGAACTCGCCGTAAACCTTAACTAATTAGGCTTTAAAGATTTTGGCAGAATAAACAACTAGAGACTGTTAGCTGAATAAATGGGGGGGGGGAGTATTATAAAGGAAATATATTAGATTATCCGAAAAATGTTCTATGGTATTTTCAACTGATGCTGTAAAAAATGCTGATGAGGGACAACCATATTCCTTATGAGTATAGCACGGATGCAACGTGTCAGATGAACAATTTCTGGAATGATTAGTCCGGAACACTTATGTGAACTTTAAAGATGGCATTAACATTGTGCCATTAAAAATCCTGTTACCCAACTGCTAATTGTCGCTTCAACTATATTTTATCTGAAGGCATGAGAGTTTAGCAGGGGAGGATAAAATAAATTCTTGGAGAGCGAGGTGGAGGGAGGAGAGGTAGGCCTTTTCCCAAGCGAGTGGAGAAATGAGCGTAACCAACTAATTTCAATCGACCGACTATCCTTGAGGAAGGGAGTGGGAGGAGGAGGTTGTACCTCCCATCTTCCTTCTGCGCCCAAGTCTAAGTGTTCCTGTGCTGTGGAGTGCTAAATGTTCAGTTTCATGGGATGTTGTGGGATACAGGCGCTCCGCAGGATTGGTCGAAGATAAGCAGAAAAGAATTAGACGAAATTCTGGTAATTCGTATCGCGTCACCCTGGTGTTTCGCACGGCTTACATTTTATAAAAATGGGAGAAGGCCGGATAGGATATGCTTTCAACCGCATCCGTTAGGTGTTAGCTTAATTAACGCTATTGGCTTCGGTAACTGACCCCTCATATTAACGGAATGCACAGTGGTCCACATGAAAAGTGACGCAAAAAACCACCCACAAATTTGCACCACTCAGTCAAATAAGAAATATACTCTCATAGCAATAGCCAGCAAAATCCACTTAAGAGATTACACATCGCATTCGAAATGGCCACCTTTAGCTTCAATACAAGCTCTCAATCTCTTCTTGAAATTCTTGAGGATGCGCGCGATCATTTCCGGCGAGATTTGGACAATTTTCAATTCCTCCAGACTCTTTGAAAAGTTTTACGACTAGGTGTACTTGCTCTCAATGCAGTTTGAGTGTCTTTGAAATCTCGGTAACTGACAAGCCGCGCTTTTGCATAGTGACTATTGCAGAACTATAATCTTATGATACCATTTTTACCTAGAAAAAGAGATTAAGACTGACTAAAGTAGGACTAAAAAATACGAGAAAAACGAGTAACACCACATCAAAGCA